GAAGGACTACCGGCAGCCAGGCCATTGTCTTCAGGCGCCAGGCGCCCGAAAACGCCAGGCCCAGTCGACCGCGGCATAAGCGACCGCACGCGGGAGAAACGGATGCGACATCGGCGGTTTAGATAACTTGCGCGCTGAGCGCGCCGTGGCAACTGGGCGCCGCCAGCGTAGAAACGCCGCTCGAGATCCTTCAGCCCGACGCCGCTGTAGCTGAGGAGGGCTGGGTCAGCGGGGAGATCCACCGCGGCGAAATCGCCCGGGCGGCGAAGTGGCAAAAGCACTACCATCGCAGGCGCCAGGCGTCCGAAAACGCCCAGCCCTGGCGACCGCAGCGTCGGCGAGCGCGCGCGGGAGAGAACGATCCGTCAGCGTCGGCGTCAGATCACTGAGGCGTTGAGCGGCGACCACAGGCCACTGCGAGCTCAGCTCAGCCCAGCCGATGTGACGTAATTCTCAAGAATGCTTTCAGGAAGCGCAAAGACGTGCTCGGGGAGTTCAACGCAACAGCGCCGGCGACGCAGCCAGTAGGAGGGAGGGGGGGGGGGATGACAGGGATGGGAAGGGGGGCGCGGGGGAGATGGGCGGGGGGCAGGGGGGGGGCTTGCATCGTTCAGCCGAGGGGCGGCTTTCAGTGTTCAGCCGAGCAAGGGCTTTCAGTGCGTGGGACTTCCTGAGACAGCCGCGCTCTCAGACGCGATGCTCTTCAGACGACGGCGGGGCTGCAGTCGTCGCGGGGGGCCCTCGATCCGCGAGGCCCGTTGAAATTTTTACGGCGACAGTGCGCGGCGCCAAGGCGAAAGCTAGGGTTTGAAAACGAGCCGCCTTCAATCCGTGAACATCGCGCACAGCTGCTGCAGCGAATTTCCGCGGCGCTTCGACGAGGGTCATATTTTGAGCGAACCGCCATCGATCCGCGGGGCTCACGCACGTTCCCGCTGGGGATGCGCGCGCATCTAAGGCATGAGCAAGCTTTCGAAACAGAGCTGCCCTCAATCCGCGAAGCTGGCGCACGCTGTCAGAAACCCATGCGCGCAGCGCCAAGGCGAGAGATGCATCTTGAAACCGAGCCGCCCTCGCGCCGCGAAGCTCGCGCATGGTTTCGCGGCGAACGCGAGCGGCGCAAAGGCAGGGGCGACAGAGCAAACGACAAAACATAATCGAGCCGCCCCCCAGCCGCGAAGCTCGCGCACGTGTTTGGGCACTTGTTCCCCGCGCGTGTGTTTTGGAGGCGCGCGGCGCGGGGGCGGCGCCTCATTTTGAAACCGAGCCTCTTTATCAGTGAAGTTCGCAATTTTGAGCACGAGCCGCCTTCAATTCCTTAAGCTCGCGCGCCTTTTCCGAGCCGCCCGCGACCCTTGAAGCTCGAACGCAAATTTCACGGCGCAGCCGCGCGGATCTCAGGCAGGCTATATTGATTTGTAGCAGAAGCCGCCTTCAATCCGCGAAACCCGTGCGCACTGTTCAAAAACCGTTGCGCGCGGCGCTAGGGCGAGAGCCAGAGCGCGAAGCCGACCCGCCCCCAATCCGCGCAATTCGCGCATTTGTTCATCGGATTTTGAAGACGAGCCGCCCGACACCCGCGAAGCTCGCGCCAATCCCTACAAGCGAATGCGCGCGGCGCAAGGCGAGAGCCAGATTTTGAGACCAGGCCGCCCCCAATCCGTGAGGCTCGCGCACGCATTTGCAGCGCGTGGTCGCAGCGCCAGGGCGAGAACTAGATTCTGAAATCGAGCCGTCTTCATAATGCGAAACTCGCGCGCATCTCTGAAAGCTAGCGCGCGCGGCGCGAAGGCGAGAGCTAGATTTTGGAACCGAATCGCCCTTCATCGGCGAAGCTCGCGCGCATTATATATATATATATATACACACACAAATACATACATATATATATATATATATATATATATATATATATGAGCGAATGCGCGCGGGGGCGAGGGCTTTATCTTGATTGAAGCCGAGCCCGCTGCGCCAGTGCGAAAAGTAGACGTTGAAAAGAATGTGTGTGTGGGTGGGTGCGCGTGGGGGGGGGGCTCTTCAGGGGGGCTAAATCCCAAGAAATCCAGAGAGAATCCACGATGCCCCCCCAGAGAGCCAGTTGACTTCCCGAGAGCGCCCCAACGGCGGCCCAAGAGAGCAGCGGAGAGGAGCGCGTCGATGTTCTGCCGTTTCTCTGCGCAGGAGTTCGCGAAGTCGCGCCTCCGACCACGCGGCGCCCCAGACGATCTCATCGACTCCCAGAATCGGCCCCGCGCGGCCAAGGCGGCCTCCAAGAGAACCCCGAAGACGGCTCAGGAGACCCCCAAGTGGGCCCCGAAGGCCCCTGGAACAGTCCAAAATGCCTCAAGACGGCCCCGAGAGGAGACAAGACAGGGGCCGTGAATTTTGGTTCGGGGCGCCTCCCCGCGAGTCGTCGCCTCCTCGTTCCCCAGACACCCCGAAGAAATTCCCAGAGGCATCCGATATTGCCTTGGAGCCCACGACGGCCCCAATATAGACCCGAAAGCGGCACCTCGAATTGTCGCAACAGCACGCAGCAGCAGTCTGCATTCCAACAGCACGCAGCGGCGGCAGCAAGCAGCAGCGCGCAGTGGCATGCGTGGGTAGCCGGTTCAAGCCCCGCGTCATGATTTCAGCAGTTTTGCAGCATGTCCACGATGACGCGTCAGCTCATGCAGTTTTCGCGGGCGAAGTCCACGGACCAGCCTTGGCCGGGCGCATCGCTGGGATCAGCGCGCGCGAGAAGGGCGGGCCGCGGCAGCGATCTTTGATGCTGCCCAGCGAGGGAGATGCTGGGCGCGAGCCTGGACCCCGACGTTATCAGCTACAGCGCCTGGGTTCGCGCGCGCGAGAACGGGGGGCAGCGGCCGCTGCCTCTGCGGCTGCTCAGCGAGACGCGGAATGCGAGGCTGGGGCGCAGCTTCCTCAGCCACGGCTCGGGGGTCCATGCGCGGAGGAAGAGCGAGCTGCAGGGTTTGCCCACGAGCGTGCCCGCCAATTTGCGCCAGGCGCGCGCTGGCTGGGAGCGGCTGCAGGCCCTGGTCTCCGCTCGGCCTCGTCGTTGCCGGGCGAACTCGGGGAAGTTCACTCGGAGCCAGAGGCAATCATCTACAGAGCAATCTGGAGCCAGCGCGCGCGCGGACAGCGAGCAGCATTTGCAGGGGGCTCCGGAGATGCCCGGCCGCGGCCGCGGAGGTGGAACAGCAGTGGCAGCATGCGTCCGAGGTGCGGGCCATGCTCCCCAGAAATGACGAACGAACAACACGCACCCATACCCATCGGGAGGTCGGAGGGAGAAGGACTGGCCACGGGCATGGGTGCGGGTTGTCGGGCCCCTGAGGAGGCCCCCGTTCGAGCGGGGACTTCTATCCGACAACGCGCACCCATGGATCATTCCGGCTCCCCTATGGGCGCGGGTGCGTGCTGATCGTTCGTCATGAGAGCAGAGCTGCGGGAGGCGGCGGGAGGCGCCGCCCCCCGACGGGGCACCGCGGCCGCCGTGGAGACCCGTGCCCGCGAGGCGCGCGGCGGAGCGCGCTGGGCCCCCCCCTTCGGCTCGCCCCCCCCCCCCCCCCCCCCCTCCCCCCCCTCTGGCCTTTGGCGCCCCGCCCTTCGGCTCGCCCCCCCTGCCCCCCCTCCCCCTCTCCTTGCCCTTCGGCTCGCCCCCCTCCCCCCTGCCCTTGGGCGCCCGCCCGGTCGGCCCGCCGTCCTCCGCGCCCCCCCGGCCCCCCTGGATGGGAACGGTGGGCCTCGCCCTTGACCGCTAGAGTTCTTCTCCCGGCCTCGTTCTCGATCTCCCCCGTCCCGCGCTGCCCGCCCGCGTCGATCTCCCTCCCCCCCCCCAAGCGCCGTTTCCGTCAACGCCTCGCCTTTTGGCCGCGCGATCATCTTCTCCGTCAGAAACATGCAGCCTACGGGAACGAGCAAGCGGCCGAAGCAGCTCGGTGACCGGCGGCCCGTTGAGTTCAGACCGCCCGCCCAATTCTCCTCCGTATCCATTTTCCGCTTCCTCATGCGAGCACGCGGCTGCTCGGCGAAGTGCGGCAACAAGGATGCCGGTGGACGTCCAGTCCGACGCCGAGGCAACGTCGCACCCTTGTGGGCGCTCCCCGCGGCCCAACGTGAGTCGTTATGTGTTCGATCGTTCGCAAACTTGTTGGCGAACGCCCACAGGTAACAGACTGCGGGAACGCTTCGAGGGAAAAGTGGCGACGACGTCTGGACTTCGTTTGGAGGCTCAGACGTCGTGTGCGCCACACGCAGGGCAACAGCAAAGGTGGGTTTGAATTGTATTCGTTGGTGGCAGGCGGTCGGGTAGGTTTGTCGTGCTGTTTCGCAGAGCTGGTTCGGCACTTCTTGTTGTTGCTCGGGGATGTATTGCTTCAACATTGTTGATTGCCTTCTGTATTGGGTGACCAATCAGTCTACCTTACAGTGTTTCGCACGTGTGCCGTAAGGAGATGGCGTTGCATGTATGGGGTGGAGTGTGTTGCTATTCGGGGGTCAGCACAGCGTGGCTCTTGTCGCCGGGTCTGGATTTGGTTTTCGTTGCCATCGTTGTCACTGGGCTTGGTCGTGGGATTCGTGCTTGTGTGCGACGCCATCGCCGCTCGGGTATCCGCTCGCATTGGTTCATTTCTTTCACATGGGTTCCACACGCATGTGATTCCGCAAGCGCAGACAGTCCACACACACGCACACATGGGTTTCACACACGTTGGCGTCCGATGTTGGGTCCGAGGGGAAATGATGCGGCATCCCCCGATCCCATTCCTACATCATCGCCCCCGATATCATAAGTACGTTCGCATTTGTTTCTCAGTGTCCCTCTCCCTTTCTCCCTCTCCCGTTCCCCTCCAGTTCGTTCGCCCCTGCCTGCGTTGCCTTTCCCCATCCCATTTGGATAGGGAAAACGCAGCACACACAAGACCATGATACGGAGGGAAGCCAGAAGAGGGACGATGCAGGTTGTTTTCGTGCTGGCCGCGCCGCCGCGCCAGGAACACAGTGTGGCTTGGCGGCTCTTGGGACTTCGAGTCCAAGACCGCCCCTCCTCAGTCAAAACGCGCCGCGCTGCGGATACGGGGGGGGGGGCGGATGGGGAACCAGCCGCAGCGGGAACAGCCGGAAACGGAACGGGAAACCTTGAACGCGCGACAGGAGTAGGAGCCGAAGCGGAATGCGGTCGAGTAGGGAGATGGGGGAGACGGTAATGAGAATGAGAGGAAAGAGGATGACACGCAAGATTTCGTGACTACAGTTCGGTACGATTACCGTTGTCTTTTGCAATTTCGGTGCAATATTGAAACACATATGTGTAACACAGTTGGCGGCAGTATGCAGTATCGTTTATACAATTCGACTGCGACGAAGAGCTGATGCTACTCCACATAATCAGCGAGTCTTTCATTTCCGTGTCTTGGCCAAGCAATCAGTACCGCTTGAAAGCATTGAACAACCGTACGAACCATCTTTCCATCCCATTTTCGTGTGACGCTCGTGTTTTTTTTGTTGTTCGGCCTCCGCACATCTACATGTTAAGTGGCAGGCCTCCCGGAACAGCGAGAGCTATCGACTCTGTGTTCGCAGCTGTTATACACATATGGGTTATGAGTCGAACATTCGGTTAGAACACACGCAGTGCATTCTTAAGAGGTGCATCGAGATGTTGTATGGAGTTTCTGCTAGCCTCGCCTTTTCTTCCTTCCGTCATCCTCCGCATTTGTCTCACCCATTTCCTTTCGAATCCGACGACGCGCGAAGCAGCGCAGGAAGTGGCAATGGGACGATGGCACGGACATCGGCAAACACTGGGCAGCAAAGAACCACTTGGACCCCTGCGCGGTTGTACCAGAGGAGAGGAGAGGATGCTGGCCGTGGAGGAGTAGGGGGGAGCATCAGCAGGAGCACGCTGGACAGGGGAATTCGAGACATGAGAGGAGGAGGGAGGTGAATGGGGAGGAGGAGCGGGAGAACGAAGCAGAGGAGGATGAGATGAGGAGGATCCAGAAGGGGCAGCGGGAGTGAAGGGGGCTGCTCCACCGCGGAGGAAGAGGGTGAAAGGCAAGGCGTTGATGACGCGTGTGTTTGCGTGGGTTATTGTGTGTATGCGCTCCCCCCTGCATCACACGCAGGAAGGGGGTGCCGTGGCAGCGGGCCCAGGCGATGTGTGCGCTCCCTCGGCTCCATCTGCGACGAGGCCCACTGCTCAGGAGGGGAAAGACACACAGACACCATTAATCGTCGATCCCCCCGAAAATATGGGAAAATATGAGAAGTGGGGGGGAAGACAGAAACCCAGAAGATATGGGAAAATATGGGGAATCTTTTGATTTGTGTGTATTTTATGTGTGTGTGTGTGTCCCAGGGCCCCATTCAACAGCACTGTCTTGCAGGTGACATGCTTGCGCACGATGCCGCACGAGTGCGCCAGCGCACTGCCAAGGAGGGGGGGGGGGCCCACGGGAGGGTGGCGCCACGGGGCCCGCACCCAAGTCCGTGCTGGCCCGCACCCAGAGAACTCATGAACTGAGCCTGGCCGCGTCGCGCTGCCACGCAATCGAAATCGTGCTCGTCCTCGCTCTCCCCTGCCGCGCACCGCCTGCGGGCGGCGCGCACTGCGAGGGGGGGAGAGGCACGGGCTCGGGAGCGCCTCCCCGCCGCGGGGCGGCCCAGGACCACCTCGGGAGGAGCGGCACGCTTCAGAGGCCCGCGGGGAGGGGGGGGGGGGCAGGCCGGACGCGGGGCCCGTGCCCTGGACCATCTCGCAGGACGGGGAGGAGGGGGCAGGCAGCAGGGGCGGGCATGTCCTCCTACACGCGGGCTTTGGAAGAAAGCTCAAACCATAGTCACACAAGAAGCAAGCAAGAAGCAAGCACAGAAAAAAACAGACATCAAAACATCGTCCCCGCCGGGCCTCCCCGCCGGGTTCCTTCTTCCTCTTGTGATCGCTCTGGCGGGGTCTGTGCCCTACCCCCCGCAGACCCCCGACATTTCGCCTCCCAAGGAGGGGGGTGCATCGGAGCGAGGGCGGACGGGCGGGAAGCAGGTCCGCGGCGCAGTACTCTGATCCACGCGAGGGGGGAGTGTCAGTTTGCGTCTTCCCCCGCCTTCGGCTCCCCCCCCCTGCTTCTCCCTCCCCAGTTCGTGGTATATAGATATGTCCGAAAGTGCGCCTTCTGTGGGCGCTTGGAGGGGGGAGGGGGTCCAGACCCTTCCCGCCTCTTGTTCAAGGAGGGCGGGGGTCGGAGAGGGGAGGGGAGGGGGGAGGCGAGTCCCCCTGGTTCGTTTCGACGGCGCCGAATGTTCGGGGGGGGGGGCGGATCAAACGCACCGCCGAATGTTCCCAAGGCGCGCACCCGTGAAATGCGCTCCCTTACATGTCCGCTTCCTCCTCGTCGTCGTGAGCTGGGAACGCATCCGCGTATCCACAGCCTCGCGGTCTGGGCCCTTCGGGTCGCGACCCCGTGGATACGCGGCGTCCTCCCGGATGCCCCGCGC